CTATTTTTCTCTGCCTTTTTTTCCCCTGTTTTATATAGAAAAACTGAGATAAAGAGGTCGATGAATGAATTAAAGCTATAGGCTCAGGATATTAACGGAGTCATTTTACGAAATTGCAGCACTCAAAAAGTAGTTGGCTGGAAAAAAACGAGAAGGGAGGGTGGGGGGGATTACGTTCAATTCGACCAATTTTAGTAAATTGGATGTTTTCCGCTTCTCTACCGAGAATATGAGATGTATAATTTTTATCTCAAAATGCAAAAAAAAAAAACAGATATTCGAATATGGAGAAATCAAATAAATCTGCGCGATTATTTTTGAATGAAAATAAATTTTAATTTTTTTAGTTATTTTGGTAAAAAAAAAACATATATTTTTTTTAAATCGTAAATTGAATTTAGTTGACTTAGACATAAATTCTCTAAATCTTATATATCAACTCAAGAACGTGAAATTAAATTACAGCAAAACTAACTTCGAAGTTTGTTTTATTGATAGGAATTATATCAGAACGAGGGGAAATTGATGCTCTAAGTTTTGCAGATAAAACGTCATCTATAAATCTCATAGACTCTTGATGTATATATCTTCTTCTTCTTCTCTTATATTCGATTAAGTATATTCTGTGGGAAAATTGCCGAACTGAAAATAGCTAATAGGATTTTTTTTTTTTTTTGCCATTCCAAATAGACAGTGGATTAAAACTTCTTGTTATAAGAAAAAGTAACTTGGAATTATCGTTACACTTTGAAAGCCCTTTCGGGGTAATTTTTTTTTTTAGTGAGAAAAAAATAAAGAAAAATCGTAAAGTAGAACAAGAATGAGTTAATAAAAAAAAAACGAGTTGTTCGATTCTCTCCAAAAATGGTTGAGAATCGATTCTTTGTTTCCTCGAGTAGAGATCATAAAGAAAAACGAGTAGCTACTTTTGAGAAAACTTGAGAAAAGAATTTACCCACAATTCACATAATAATTTGAAATATACGACCATATTGCTTCTCTTAAATATATATCTTTATATTAAATTTCAGTTACTCTCAAATTTTTTTTTTTTCTACTTGAATCAATTTTTAGCAATTATATTTATTATTTTTTAATAACTATTATTTGAAACCATAAAATAATTTTTTTTTTCATTTTAATTTGATAAATATTTCAAAAAATGCCAAAATTAAAAAAGAAAGATTATTATTGCATAATAATAATAATAATTCATAATTATAAAAATTATTTATTGATTTTAATTAAAAAAAATTTAAATTTATCTTTCATATAAAAAACAATATAATTGTTTTAAAAAAAAATTGGTGGGGTAATATTCAATTACTCATAGTTCATTACGCACGTGTTCATAAAATCTCGCGTGAAAGACAACTTGACTATATTGCTTTTTTTTATGAACCATAAATTGAAAATGAAAATCTATTCGTATTGACATAACAGTTTGCATCATTTAATATCACATTCGATTAGTTTAAATTGTCTCTTAAATTTTTTTTTTTTAAAGCTTTCTCAATTAACGCGTTACATGCTTGATGAAAAAAGGGATAATCTTTCAAAAAACAAAAAAAAAATTTTTTTTCTACTTTTATCATAATAATTTTATATAAAAAAAATAATATACAAATAATATTTTACAAAATCCATTTTCCCTTCTATTATAATTTTTTAATTATAGAAAGAAATTATGTTTTAATTATATAAAAAAAAAAAAATATTGTTTCTTAACGTGAAAAACTTAATTTGAAAAAGATATAAAAGATGAAAAAAAAAGAAGTTTTAATTCAGAAACAACAGTGTTAATAAATTTCAAGGTTGTTTTTTTTTTCGATATAGTTTTACAACGGTAATATGTGAAAACCTTGAAAAATAATTATTGTTTAATACCTATTACGTAAATCTCTTGGAAAGATCTTCTTTCCGAGGAATTTGAAATTGCAATCTGACAGTTTTCACTTGGAACAAAGTTAATGTAAATGTGGAACAAGCTAAGCGTGCTCACATCCCGGAAGACATCTTTTAATGCATCTACAAGGCCGTTCCCGAGTACATCGCCTTATTACTTATATACTCGTGAGACATATTTTTAGAGTCTCTTTGAAAAAAAAAAAAAAAAAATTTTTTTTCTTTTTTAAATCGATTTTAAAAACTAAAAAAAATTTCTTATGCTAATTATATTAATTAATAAAAAATAATAATAAAAATAATAATAAAAATAAAAAATTAATTTAAAAAATTAAAATATAATTAAAAACATAAAATTTACATGAAAAATTATATAAATAAAAATTTGCCAAATGTGTTATCAGTTACGTCACATATGTAATAAACTGGTTACATGTGACGACGTGTTGCTTTTTGTTTTCAAATAAATTTTCATTGGCGACAACTCGCGAGTTCTTCACTTTAATAACCAGGGTCAATGATGGAACATTTTTTTTTCTCTCTCATCTATTTATATATATATATAGTAATATATTTGTTTCGCTCTAAAGAATAATTAAAAAAAAAACAACAACAAGAAACGATTGTGACAATTGAATCTGGGAAATAAATTTGTTTATTGGGATTAACGGTCTCGTTGTTGTCCTTGACAAGTCGAGGATTTAAATCCTTGAACTAGAGCAGTTCAATTATTGAAAAGTGAAGGCTCATATATGACGTGCGATAAATCGCCACTCAAACAAATGCGAGCAACTATATAAATGTTTACAAAGAGAGTGCTTAAAAGCTTGACACTGTGTATGTATGTGTGTGAGAGAGAATGTTTACGATCATCTCCGATTCAGAAGTTGTTTAGGGCATTAAACGATTTGCCAAAAGGATTTAGAATCAAGGGAGATATGACTGTTTGTTTATTTGTATTTGTTTTGGTTTTTTTTTTTGAAAGAATTTCATGCATTTTTTACAGGAAACAAATTTTTAGATACTTTTTTTCTTTTGTAAACAAATTTAGGATTTACGTATTATTAACCAAACATTGATGATTGATTGATAGCCAATATTGGATTAATTTAGACTTTTATGACATTATTTGGTTTGCCAATATTAAGCCAATATTCAGCCTAGTTTGATATAAAGAACACTGAGAATGAGAGATAAATGACTAGTCACCATGATTCAGCCAATATTCGCCCAAGTTTGGTAGGAAATGGTTAAAATAATTGCCTAATACTAGCACCCAAGATTGGTCCAATATTCGGCCAAGTTTGGTAGACAATGTTGACATTATTTGTTCTGCCAATATTAAGTCAATATTCAGCCTACTTTGGTAATAAAAACATTAGGAATGAGAGATAAATGACTAGTAACCAAGATTGAGCCAATATTCGCCCAAGTTTGGTAGGAAATGGTTAAGATAATTGCCTAATACTGGAACCCAAGATTGGTCCAATATTCAGCCAAGTTTGGTAGACAATGGTTACGATGATTGCCTAATACTGGCACCCTATATTGGTCCAATATTCATCCAAGTTTGGTAGACAATGCTGCTAATGACAGATAAATACTGGCGCCCAAGATTAATCCAATATTCGCCCAAGTTTGGTAGCCAATGTTTACGATAATTGCCTAATACTGGCACCCAATATTTGTCCAATATTCACTCAAGTTTGGTAGCCAATGTTTACGATAATTGCCTAATACTGGCACCCAATATTTGTCCAATATTCACCCAAGTTTGGTAGCCAATGGTTACAATAATTGTCTAATACTGGCACCCTAGATTGGTCCAATATTCGCCCAAGTTTGATAAACAATGCTGCTAATGACAGATAAACAATAGCACTCAAGATTCTACCAATATGCAGCCAAGTTTGGTAGCAAATACTATAAATAGTAGATAAATACTAGCATCCAAGATTCTACCAATGTTCAGCCAAGTTTGGGAGAAAATGCCACAAATAACAGATAAACACTGGCTTTATAAGATTAGTCCAATAGTCCTCGATTTTAGGATCTCTTTTTTGTAACTAATGAATCAAAATTGGCATCCAAGTCTGGACCAGGATTCAGCCAAGTTTAAACAAAAATTGAGCTAATTTTCCATGGCATTGTTAACTAAACTATTGAAGCTTCAATTGCGAATCTTTGATGAATATCGAAACAATCTTGAATGCCACTGTTAATTACTTTTTGTTACGAAACTTGGGGGAATATTGGCTCAATCTTGGTTTGTAAATATCAATGAATCAACCATAAGTTTTTGTTACCAAACTTGAATAAATAAAACCAATTTTTTGTGCCAAGTATTAATCAATTTTTTTCGAATCTCGGGTGAATATTGGCCCAATCATAAAATCCAAAATCTACGAAAATAAATTATTATAACCACACAAAGTTGCATTTTTTTTTTTTTTTTTTTTTACTTTTAGTGAATACACATTAAAAATCATTTTTTTTATTTAATATACAATATGTATGTATTTTTATTGCAAGAGATTTTATTTATAAAAATAAACTTAGTAATTAATTTTACTACAGAGTTTTTAATTGATTCAATATATCAATTTCAATTGGGTTTTTTTTTTCAATTATTATTATTTTTTTCAAATATTTAATGAATTATTTAGTTTCTATTGCTCACTTATATAATTGGATTTAAAAAATTAATTGGCTTTGTTACCGTGAAATATTTATTTATTTGAAAAAAATACAGAAAGCACTCTTTGTGTGGTTTTCACTTTTAATTCACTGTTGAAGATGAGAAAAAAAAAATTCTCATATAATATTTACAGGTCAAGTGATTTCAATGAATGCATTGTGTTTTTTTTTTTTTTCAAAGAGCAATAATTTCGATGACTTTCAGGTTTTTTATTAATATAAAAACTATAAATACAATAATGATAATATAAGAAATAATAATTTTTTATGAATTTTTTTTTTTGAAATTTATATTACATACATTTTATTTATTTATATTTTTGTTTGGAAAATTTGATGACTACCATTTTTTTTTTTTTCAGAATGTTATTTATCATGACATTTCTTGCTTGTTGCAGATAATTGAAGTTTAAATATTCACGGCATTATCCGTCCTCATGGATTCACGAAATTTGGAACCTGCATTTTCGTGTTCAGTTCGAAGCAAAATTACGATTAGGTAGGTGGGATTTTTTATTTATTGTCTTCTTTTTTTTTTTTTTATTTTTATTTATTGCTATTTTTTATCATTGCAATAATTTTATTTTTCAATTTTTGAAACATAGAGGATAATTTTTGGAAAAATTATAATTTAATGTAATTAATTAATACAAAAATAATATGTAATGAGAAAAATAGTAAAAAAAAAAAAAAAATAGTAAAAAAAATAGTAAAAAAAGAAAACGTAATGATAATTTACAAATTACTAATGTTTTCTTGTTTTAATATATAAGAAAACTGCGACTCATCTCATCATTTATATATATATAAGGAAAAAACTTTATTTGTACTTTCACTATTTATAATCAATATTTACTATCAGTATTTTATTATCAAAGGTTAAAGCAAATGACTAACAAGCGAGAAAATATTTTATAAAATAATTTTAAAATTAAATAAAATATTTCTGGGACAAAATAAAATTTTTTTTTTAAATATATATATATATATATATATCTTTTGGAACACGTGTGAGAATAACAGAAGCATTTAAAATCGATTTTATGATTATAGTCATTATTTACTCGCGGAGAGATCTCGTCCTCGATTTCAAGTTTAACAATATATATATTTCTTATTAAATTTAACCTTTAAAATTTAAGTTCTAACCTTTATGAAAATTCGCGTGACAATTATTATTTTGTCGGGGACATTAGTTGCGTGCTGGATCATTTTACAAAAAAACAAAAATTACATTCTTTTGTCTAATGTTGCAAAAAAAAAAAAAAAAATTTTTTATTGTTAATACATTTATCAAAAATTTAGATATTATTATTGCTTTTATTTTTGCGTACACAAAATATGTGCTTGATACTTTAATAATTTACTGCTTATTGTCTCATTTAAAATGTACACTGAATCATCAAAAAGACATTTTTCTAAATTAAAACAAATTAATTTCTTTTAGATGAATTTTTTTTTTTTGACAGATCTTTTTTTTAAATTAAAATTAATTTTTTCTTATAATATGTCGTAATGTTATAATGTTGAGTTAATTTTCATTTAGTTTTTTTTTAGTTAATAATTTGTTATTTTGTCTTGACGAAACAAGTTTTTTCTACTTAAATAAAATTATTTATTATAAATAAAAAAAAAAAAATAAAATAAAATGAAAATAATTTTAAAAAATTTAAATAAAAAAAACTAAAAATTAAATAAATAATTCTATGACCTTGAAATCTTTATTTCTTTATTTAAAAACATTTATCGTTATTATTAAATGAACAAAAAAATTTTTTTTACAAATAAACTTATGAATAAAATAGTAAGCAGATTTTTTTTTGTATTTTTCTATTTTTAAAATATTTTTTTCAATGTTGGCAACGAGGGAGAAAAATTGTAGGCGTTTTAGTATTGATTAAAATACTTGCAGTCCTGACACGTATATTGCTACACGGTCAGCAATATGACCGTGACAATGAACTGCATCTAGGCTAGGTAATGACACGTTATTTATCCTATGCTGAGCTTCAAGTCTTACTAATTGCGCTCTGTCTTTTTAGTCTTTAAAATTACCCCACACACAATCGTAATCACTGTCGTTTTGAGTTTCTTTCTTTTTTTTTTTTTCATTTTTTGTTCTTTTTTTTTATTATTACTCAACGCTTTATTTCTTTTGCTGCATATGATAATAGTATATTATGTGGCAAGCACGTAAAGTAGTACTTTTTAGGTGAGGATGTAATTTTCAGTACGAGCTGTCGTTAGTGCGACGTAGGTGAGACGAAGGCGAGCTGTAGGTGAGATGAAGACGAGCCGAAGGCGAGTCGAGTCGAGCCGAAAGCGAGCCGAGTCGAACCGAAGTCGCACAGACAGCGAGTATTGAAATCATCCGAACCTAAAAATTACTACGTGCGAGCCACATACGCTATTTTTTTCGCCATTGTTATGAAAAAGTGAAACAATTTTAAAGAAAAAAAATAATAAAAATTGATAAATAAAATAAAAGCAAAAAAAAAAATTATGCAAAAATTAACAACTGCCTAAAAAAGACTTTATAGGGCAGTTTACTGCCTAAAAAAGACTTTATACGGCAGTTTGCTGCCTAAAAAAGTCTTTTTTAGGCAGTTGGCCCAAACTGCCTTAAAAAGTGCTACTTTATCTGCCCAAAACAGGCACAAAAAAGACACTTTTTCATGTCAATGGCGAAAAAAATAATATTTCTGCCTTTAAATCTCTCGATGATTAATTATTATATCCATTATATATTATAAAACTCAATAATTTTTATATTTCACTCTTTCGATAATTAGTAATTTTCTCTATAATAATCAATAATAATTGGCACTTGATAAATGTTATTTATAAATGATGGGAGATAATTAATGTACTTTTCATTATTTTTTTATTCAATTTTTTTATTTAATTAATTTGCTCATCAATTATTTTAATTTAATTCACATGAATTTTTCTTTAAATTAATTTTACAGCAAATAAAAAGTAAAATAGATGTAAAAAAAGAAAGAAACGGATTTATTTACTTTTATATTTTTTAAAATGAATTTTACACTTAAATAACATTGCAATTAAATATAAAAACCTAAATTATTAATAATATTTATAAAATAAAATTATAAATTCAAAAAATCTGATCTTTCTGAAATTTTTGTTTTTTCACGTTAAAAAGCTTTATGAAACAAAAAACCACTCATTGGATTAAATATAAAAAGAAGATTAGCTCTCATATTAAAAATATTTTTTAAAAATACAAAAAAAAATACATGTAAATATGGCTTTGCGTAGGAGAAAAAAAAATAAATAAAATGTACATTGAAATAAAAATATTCGTTATTTAAATATAAAATTTAAATGATTTTGTTTGATTTAACACAAAGTAAATATAATTTATATATAGAAAAAAATTATATTTTCATCATTACTTTAGTATAGCATTATTTGCTATTATGTAATATTTGATTAAAAAACGTTCTACTTTAATTAAATAAAAAAAATAAATTCTGACATTTTTGTTTTTCAAATTTAAAAAAATCTCATTCTTTTGAGAGAAAAAATTATTTTTTAAAAAATGATATTTAAATTTAATTTATTATATAAAAAAAAAATATATGAAAATGAAAATTGGATTTTGTGAATTATAACGCGGGAATAATAAATAAATCGTATTGACATTTTTAATGCATATACGATGTGAATAAAGAAGCATTAATTGCGTTGAACAAGGGATTATTTGGGATTGCATATGAATTATATAAAAAAAAAAAATAGTCTTGGAAAAAATTGATTTTTACTCGTTTTTGAGGTAAAATATTTAGGGGTGAATTTTTAGGGATAAATGAACAGTGCTCTCTGGATTGCATTTATGGTTAACAAAGAACATCCTGTACCATGGTTTCAACGACCACGGCACATATATATATATATGTAGGAATAATCCGCCGAGCCACCAACGCCAATTAAATTTCGTGCCGCTAACTGCGATTATAGATCACGCTTTCCACGAATGTATTGCCTCTACATCCAATCGAGCCCAATATCCAAATTATTCGCATAATTTCATAATCCAACTTGAATATTCTACTTCATAAATTTAATTTTTTATCAACACCCAACGTTAATAATTTTATTATTACAAATTTTCCTTGTTTGATAATTGTAAATTTATTTAATTTAATAATAATAAAAAAAAATGAAAAGTCTGTTAATATTTAAAACTCAATTATTTGTTAACGTCAAAATATAAAAGAGTTTTGATTGTTGAACAAATTCTTCTTTTTTTCATATATTGAAATATTCTAGTATATACTTTTATCCCGAGGATTTTTAAGATAATTCATTTCACTTGCAAATATTTTTCTTCGGCTTCTGCCGGTGTCGTAACTTTTGACCTTACCATTTATCATACTAAACTTGTCTGACACTTCTTGGCAGAAAATTTTCAAAAGTATTATATGTATAGCAAAAAAAAAAAAGAAATAAAAAGCACTTGTGTGAAAGTTTCTCTAATACACAAAAATGCTTTATAAATATTTAACAGACTATCTCCAATATTATACGAGTAAAATTCTTCTTTAATAAAAAAGTGTATAATTTTCATATAAATTAGAGAGAAAACGGGTATATTGTTTGGTGGTTTTTTTTTAACCCAAGCACTTAAAAAATTAGAAATTTTTCAATTTCAACATTGTTCTTATACTAATTAGAAATTATATTAATTAATTTAAAATTTTAATACTAAATTTTGAATTTTAGTCAAAAAAAAAGAAAAGTTTTACGGCCTTTGGATACTAATAACGTTTGAAACATAACTTAGTATGTAAATTTAATTTCAATAATCGATTTTTAATGAGATTATATTACAGGATATGAACCTGTTTTTTTACGACTTTGTAAAAACTTGTTGCAATAAAAAAAAAAAAAAAAAACAACAACTTTTATTAAAATTTAGAGACAATTTTATTTCAGTAACCGGAATTTTAATAATTAAACAAAAATATATTTTTAAATCAACATTTAAACTTTTATTATTATTATTATTTTTGTTTTAGAAAAAAAAAAAAAAATGAAAAACCTAAATTGTTTTTGATGCATAGAATATTTAGGTTGAATGTAAATATATGTAAAATTGTTGAAATTAAATCACAAATCAAAAGACGTCCTTTGCATGGAACTGTTGTCTCTCTCATAAAGTCAAAATACATATATACATACACACAAACACATTGAACTATATAGGTACTGAGATCGTTCTGTTTGCTTTAAAGCTTTCAACTGGTAAACCAACGAGAACCTCCTCGTTACAGCAGAGCAAATAAACAATTACCACCAGGCTCATTACTACGAGGTTATATAGTTTAATGAAAACTCTCTGCTCTATAAATCGCGCACTAGGTGATTGACGGTATAAATAATTGTTCTTCCAACACACGACGAGGTTGTAGACTTTTTGAATTATATGCCACTAGCATACGCTTTGATAAATGAAATGTATTATTTTCATGATATGCTTTTTTTTCTCATTCTATATAAATAACGACTTTCTGTTCGAGTCAGTTTTAAAACGAATAGATAAAACAAAAAAAAATATATATATATTTTGTCTATTATTTTATGGCTTTGTTACTTTACTTCAAAAAAAAAAAAAAAACGAGAAATAATTTTTTTTATCAATTTTAGAGATGAAAAAAGAAGAAAAAAATTAAATTTATCCTTTTGTGAATTTTTTTATTATTTATAATAATAAAGATAATAATAATAATAATAATAATAATAATAATAATAATAATAATAATAATAATCTGTTGACAGAATCAACAATGCGAAAATAAACCTTGAAATTTTTTTTTTATCATTGATCTTTCTATTGACCCGAGAAAAAGTCCTTGTAAACACCTTAACTTCTGCTTAACGGAAAACATATGATTAACATACTTATTATAAATTTTTGTTTTCTACATGTCATTACTTATTCACTGTTTAGTTGAAAATTATTATTTTGTACAGAAAAAAAAGAAAATTCTAAAAATACCATTTTTCACCTAATAATTGAATTTACTCTTAAAATGAGAATCATTTTACATTCGTGGAAAAGAAATCAAATAAGAAAAAAATAGTTGACAAGAAAAGAGAGAAAAGTAATTAAATAAAAATATGAGAGAAACATGATAGACGAAATTCTTCTTCACCCTCATTTCCCTTATATGTGAGCTCGACAATAAATCTGTGGGTACAGGACACGAAAATTGCAAATGCCTATGTCACCTATCTTACACTACTGTTATCATTATCCTTGTCCCTAAAGGACATTTTGAGGACGAAAATATTTAAAGTGTCTCTTGTAATTTCTTTTCCTATAATGTGAGGAATGATGATTTTTTTGGAGAAAAATTTCTTTTTTTAAATTATTTTTTCCTTAGATAAAAACATTTGAAATTCATAAGAGACATCGAAAAAAAGAAAAACTTATTGGAGATGATAGTTTCATCGCTTATATAATTTATAAAAGTTTCTCTCCAATACTTTAATATTTGTAATTGAATTAGGTTTTAAAACAAAATTTTTTTGAAAAATGAAAATATAAAAAATTACCGACATAGAAATCTATCTTACCGACTGAAGGTAAAACAGATTTTTGAAAAAAGAAAATATATAAAATTACCGACATAGGAATGTACCTTACCGACTGATAGTAAAACAGATTTCTGAAAAATGAAACAAAAAAATTACGAATTAGAAATGCTCCTAAGAAAAAAGTCACGAATTAGATATGCGCCTAACAAAAAAGGCACGAATTAGAAATGCGCCTAACAAAAAAGTCACGAATTACAAATGCTCCTAAGAAAAAAGTCACGAATTAGAAACGCGCCTAAGAAAAAGTCACGAATTAGAAACGCGCCTAAGAAAAAAGTCACGAAAAGTCACGAATTAGAAACGCGCCTAAGAAAAAGTCACGAAAAGTCACGAATTAGAAATGCTTCTAAGAAAAAAGTCACGAATTAGAAATGCTCCTAAGAAAACAGTCACGAATTAGAAACGCGCCTAAGAAAAAAGTCACGAAAAGTCACGAATTAGAAATGCTCCTAAGAAAAAAGTCACGAAAGGTCACGAATTAGAAATGATCCTAAGAAAAAGTCACGAATTAGAAACGCGCCTAAGAAAAAAGTCACGAAAAGTCACGAATTAGAAATGCTCCTAAGAAAAAGGCACGAAAAGTCACGAATTAGAAATGATCCTAAGAAAAAAGTCACAAAAAGTCACGAATTAGAAATGCTTCTAAGAAAATAGTCACGAATTAGAAACGCGCCTAAGAAAAAAGTCACGAAAAGTCACGAATTAGAAATGCTCCTAAGAAAAAAGTCACGAATTAGAATGCGCCTAAGAAAAAAGTCACGAATTAGAATGCGCCTAAGAAAAAAGTCACGAAAAAATCACGAATTAGAATGTGCCTAAGAAAAAAGTCACGAAAATGTCACGAATTAGAATGCGCCTAAGAAAAAAGTCACGAAAAAGTCACGAATTAGAAACGCGCCTAAGAAAAAAGTCACGAAAAAGTCACGAATTAGAAACGCGCCTAAGAAAAAAGTCACGAATTAGAAACGCGCCTAAGAAAAAAGTCACGAAAAAGTCACGAATTAGAAATGTTCCTAAGAAAAAAGTCACGAATTAGAATGCGCCTAAGAAAAAAGTCACGAATTAGAAACGCGCCTAAGAAAAAAGTCACGAAAAAGTCACGAATTAGAATGCGCCTAAGAAAAAAGTCACGAATTAGAAACGCTCCTAAGAAAAAAAGTCACGAATTAGAAACGCGCCTAAGAAAAAAGTCACGAAAAGTCACGAATTAGAAATGCTCCTAAGAAAAAAGTCACGAATTAGAAATGATCCTAAGAAAAAAGTCACGAAAAGTCACGAATTAGAAATGCTTCTAAGAAAATAGTCACGAATTAGAAACGCGCCTAAGAAAAAAGTCACGAATTAGAAATGATCCTAAGAAAAAAGTCACGAAAAGTCACGAATTAGAAATGCTCCTAAGAAAAAAAGTCACGAATTAGAAATGATCCTAAGAAAAAGTCACGAAAAGTCACGAATTAGAAATGCCTCTAAGAAAAAAGTCACGAATTAGAAATGCTCCTAAGAAAAAGTCACGAATTAGAAACGCGCCTAAGAAAAAAGTCACGAATTAGAAATGCTCCTAAGAAAAAATTCACGAATTAGAAACGCGCCTAAGAAAAAAGTCACGAAAAGTCACGAATTAGAACTGCTCCTAAGAAAAAAGTCACGAAGTAGAAACGCGCCTAAGTAAAAAGTCACGAATTAGAATGACTTATGATTTGGTCACTGATAACTTAGGATTCAGTTATGATATACGATTTGGTCACGAATATTTTGCGAATGAGTGACTAATGATTTACGATTTGTTCACTGATGGCTTTCGTCTGAGTCACAAATAAGTCAGTCGTGAATTCTCACGAATGAGTTACGAATAACTAATAATTCATCCTATCAAAATTGTAATTATTAATTTAAAATACCAAAATTGTAGTTATTAGTAATTTAAATATTAATAATTTGAAACTTCTGAGGTGTTTTCTTATTGTGTTGTATCGCTCCACTATTAGTTGTATGTATTGATTCGCGATACGTTGTATCATAAATTTTTTGTGAATGTCTGCTTAAAATAATACTTTTCTCTGAGTGAATGAAAATAAAAAATTAAATAATTAAAAAAAATTATAAAAATAAAAATTGAATTTGTCATTTTGTTAAAACAATTTGATTTTTCTGTTAAAGGTGGATGGTGTTTCACTGTATTAAAAAAAATTGTAAAAAAAAAGAAAAATATTATTTATGAAATATTTTCTCCCAATCTATAATAAAATTTGAAGAAATATTACAATTTTTATGTATATAATATGAATTTTGATATCTATACATCAAAGAGAGAAATCTTTTGAAAATGATATTCTTGTCTTGAAAATTCATATACACGAAAATATCATTCCATCAATATTTTAGTATTGTCATGCGTGTTTTCCAGTCCTTTTTTTTTGCGAAAGCCGAACAATAACACAAATCCCCATGTCATGGAAGGATTATCTCTTTCTCTCTCGATCCCTTTTTTTTGTCATCAGGCTTCATCTCTTTTTAAACATTTTTATTTCGTTTTTCCTTGTTTTTTTGACATGACAAATTTTCCCACCTTCATCACATGTTTTCTGAAACAAAAAATTTAGATAAATGGACAATTTTTAATTAAAGATTTTTTCCCCTGTATTTCTTAGATTAAGAAAAGAAAAATCGTCTTTAATTCAAGAATTTTAATTTAAAATTTTTTATTGTTAAAAAAAAATTTTCAAATCGAAATTTTTATTTTAACAAAAGGAGAAGTTTTTTTAAAAAAAAATAAAATATGTAAATTCTAAGATGGTTATTTTTCACTTAAGAATAATTCATTGAGCATTATTTTAAGCACCTTTATATAATAACGTCAAAGTGTCTCGTATCCTTTTCAACGTTCAATCGATTATCGTATCATTTTAAAAAAGAGACGATAGAGAGGTGTTAGGTAATAATGAATATAAAAATAGATTAGGTTTCTCGGATAATTTGAAAAGGTTCACTAGATTCTCTGATCGTGAAGCTTTAAGGATGCTCAAAGCTAAATACATGCATAAAATGCACGCACACATATTAACACACATGCACACGAATTGCTTTATTACTACCCGAAGAGGAAATTCCTCGTCAACCTAGTATTTATTGATTTGCGATGGTATAGAGCCGATGTTATATTGTCCTATAGGGGATTTCGTTTGGCTTATGGAGATACATGGTAATATACGATAAACAAAACCTTGGACATAGTCCCATAGTCCGTTCACCGATATAGTTTATATATTTATATGTGACATATATCGTTTTATGGCCCACATTTATGTAACATGCTCAAAGACGTGTATTACGACTACAATTAATTATCACTATTAAATGTGTCAACAAATGTGAACCGACAAATCAACCATAACTTGGTCTTAATTTTTGCTTTACACCTGTTGTTTTTGTACGAATTGTCATTTTGCCAAAAGAAAATATGGTTTTTCTTTTAACAAAAAAAATTATCAAAATTCTTTTTTTTAACAACTAACAATAAAATTCGTAAATTTTAATTAGTTTTTTTTTGAATTTTGAAATTCTGATGTCAGATTCAGAATCGGTGACCTCAAAAATCCCCGAGTAGCAAATTTCAAGAGAATCTGAGAGATTTAAAATTTTTTCAAGTGTAGAAAAAAGGTATCAAGGTAAAAAATGGTACAAAAGTAGAAAAAAGTTATAAAAAGTAGAAAAAAACAAGAAAAAAATCTAAATGTTGAAAATTTAAAATATAGAAAAAAATAAAAATGGAAAAATGATATAAATGTAGAAAAGGTAAAAAAGTAGAAAATTTAAAAAAATGTAAAAAGTATAGAAGTAGAAAAGATACAAAAAGAAGAAAAGGAGTATAATAGTAGAAAATTGTATAAAAAGTAGAAGAGTAAAGAGACGGAAATGTAGAAAATTTAGAAACGTAAAAAAACTAAAAATTGAAAAAGGATACAAATGTAGAAAAGGTTTGTTTGTTTTGTTGTAAGGTAAAAAAATTGAAAAATATAAAATAGTATAAAAGTAAAAAAAAATTGTAAAAAAAGTAGAAAAAATAGAAAAAGGATATAAATGTAGAAAATTGTAAAGTACAAAAAGGTGTAAATTAGAAAAAAGGTACAATATTGAAAAGGTAAACTAAAAAAAAATGTGTAAAATGTAGAAAACAATGTAAAAATAGAAAAAGGTGAAAAAATATAAATCAATATATTGCAGAAAAGGCAAAAAATAGAAAAAAAATTAAAAATGTAGAAAAAAGTGTAAAAATAGAAAATGATATATTGCAGAATAGGTAAAAAAAAACAGAAAAAGGTGTAAAAATAGAAAAAGATGTAAAAATATAAAATCCTATAATGCAGAAAAGGTAAAAAAAAACTAGAAAATTTTGTAAAACACTAAAAAACACCCATTCGAATCAAAAGCAAAAAAAAAAGATAAAATGTAAATTTCTATTTTTGGTAAAAAAAGTGTTTTCTTTCTTTCTAAAGAATCTATTTTCGTGACCCGAGTCAATATTAATGACCGTGATGTAAAAATAAATCTCGTGCACTATGAAAGGTGAATCTTGTATATATATATTTACATAGGGATGCACGCAGTGTAAAATTTTTTTTTGAAAGACTTATTCTTTAATTCAAAAAAAAAAAATTGTTTTATTTTTACTTTTTCTCTCTTATATTCTCATTTTGTAGACAAATTTATTTAGACCACAAAAAAAAACATTATCTTTCTCTCTCTCTCTCTGTCTCTGGCTCCTTGGAGTCTTTCAAGAACTATAGTACAGTATGATTTAGAGGTCCGATAATAAAGTCGTTTTAACGAAACCTCGTAGCGAATGTTGATTTATAATGACAGTAACAGTTTTCTTTTTCACGAAAACGAACGTGAAATGCGTTTTACCGAAAAGCTTTTTACAGCTTAACATCTTTATTGACGTTTTAAAACACTCAACTCTAAAACAAAAATGTCTTCTGAATTATGTTGAATGGGAATTGAGGGGGGGGGAGGGCAGGGAACAAAATTAATTCACCGTGACTCCAAAAACTTTTTATTTCGAGTGAATTCAATTTATTTTCAAATATTACGGTAAAAATATTTTCTTGCTCAACTTTCCTCGTGTTATTTTTATGACAATTTATTTTTTTTTGTTTTAAAAATGAGAAATTCTTTTTTTTTTATATATTATTAAAGAAATGTTTAGAATTTATTTACCAATTAAATTAAAATTTATTAAATGAATTCACTCTAGTTAATAATTTGAATGTTACACACTATAATTAAATTTACATAAATTTAATTAGAAATTGAATAAATTAAGTTTAATTGAATATCAATATTCAAAAAAAAACGTGAATAATATGTTTGAATTGAATTGGTAATTAAAAAATATTTTTATTGTTTCTAATTTTGAAAAAAATGGATTCTTCTTTTATAATATAAAATTAACAGTTGAGTTATGTTTTACACGAATAAGCAATATAAACAAAATACTGACGCAAGAGATAACAGATGATTGTGATTTATTTTTTTCATTTCATCTAGATTTTAAATCATGACAGAATTTTTAAAAGATTTAATATTTCAAAAATGAGAGAGAGGGAGAAAAAAAATTCAATTTCATATAAGCATTTGTCTTTTTGAAAATAGTTGTGGGATATTTTTGTCACCATTGAAAATGAATTGTGTAAAGTGGTCTCCGGAATTTATTCTGAACAGAATTGCGATTATGCAAATTGATTTCTATCCTCTCAATACTTTGACCTAGACACAACCATCAAATCCCCACAGCTCATCCTATTTATACAAGTGAATCAGAAGTAATGTATTTCAAATTAAATATGTTGTCACATTTTTTTTTATACATAATTCGTTTTATAACAATAAAAAAAAAAATTGGTAATTTTAATTATGAAAATAAAAATTATTAAAAAAAAATAAATTTCGCAAAAAAATAATAATTAATAGTAAATTGAAATTTTTTTCAATTTTAATATTTTATTTTTCCACCCTATTTTGTTGTATTTCTTTTATATGGTTTACTTTTTAGCTTTTGTTTACTCGGTAAAAATAAATTTCTCTTTCAAAAAATCCTTTAGAAAAATAAATCCATCGGGCTTCAGAATTCCTTTTACTTCAATCAACTTCGTTTTCCATCATTTCCATTTCTAATAAATTCTACCTTTTTTTCCATCAATATTCAATCAATATATTGAAAATACTATTCTATTTTACATTAAAAAAAAAAAAAAAAAAAAATTCACATTTTTTGAAAATATTAAAGTATTTAAAAAAAAGTCTTCTTTTTTTAGAAGAAAGTGTCGAAATTTTCTTAGAATTAATTTTCTAATAGCCTCTCTTCATTTAATTTGAGAGCCATTCTCCGTTCTTGGCAAAGAAGCAATTACCACTTTTTTTTTCTTATAATTTCTTTGCGCGAAATTGAACGTTAAATTGTCGCATGTGTCCGAAAAATAATTAAAGAAAACGTAATGAGCGTGTCATTGAAAAGCGTATAGAATACTGTGAAAGAAGAAAAAGAAGAAGAAGAAAATAAAGGAAAAAAAAAGAAGTAATTGAGGCAATTTCGCAAAACGAGAAAGAAAAAAAGAAACCAGCTATGGATTAATTTCTTCTCGTTTGATTCAAAAGTTAAATATAATAGTCGACGACTTGGATTTTCATGAACCAATAAAAAAAAAAGCCTGAACCATTTTCGTAAATGGATAGTGTATGTAGTAGTAGTAGTAGTGATATAATATAGCTCATCTCGTGATACAGAGTAAAGAAACCTGGCTTTAGTCAAGTGTTAAACGAGACGATCCTGGAGAGCTGGCTTTTTCATGAATTATGCAAAACGAAAAAAGGATTTAACGATGAGGAATAAAGAATCGTATATGCTGTGCACTCGGGTTTTTTTGGATCCTGAAAATTGTCTATTAAATGTTCCTATTGACTCTTCTTCGTAACCAAAAGGAAAAAAAAAAGAATGAAGACTTCATGTTTATTAAAACACGGCAAGTAATTTATTTTCTCCAAAATAAGAGAAAAAGGGAATAAATTACAATTAATAGAATAAAATTTTTCCCCTTGAAGCCTCGATTTTTTTTTCCTTTGTCAAACTAATTGCTAATATTGAAAATCAAAAAAAGGAAAGAAAAAAAAATTGCGCATGGAAATTTTTTTTTCACCATGAGACTCTTCTTAGGCGCATTTCCACTTGTAAGGATCAAAAGAAAATGTTAAATTTTCAACTGTTTCATAAATTTATTTTTAAATTTATTAATTCTGTTTCAATTAAAAAACAATGTTTTTTCATCATTTTTCTATATCGTTTTTTTTTTAGTTAACTAATATGAAAATTGAAATAGTGTGTCTGACTAAAACTTTCTTTTACTACTGATATAACAAAATTATAATAATTTACAAATATTTTCGAAATTAATAAAAAAAAATAAGTAGAAACATTAAATACAGTTTTGTCTAACTGTCCCAGGTGAAAAAATTAACGTTACTAACGTTACTAATGTTATTAACGTTAGTACCTATAAAAAAATTAAGAGTTTCTAAAATATATTTT